ACGATTTAAAAAAAAAGTCCCATAATGATGGGAATCTGCACTGTTTCCAGTTTTCATAAAACACTACGATGATGAGATTCCACCTCTGAGCGACCGCATAAACGTCTGCTCTTTTTTCTCCCGGACGCGGACTCGGGAACAGAACGGCCGGACAGTATGGCAGGTGCACTTGTAACATTTTCAGAAACTCCAGACTGTTCTCGGGAGAAGCCGAGCCCTTTGCACATCGGGCGGGAGAGCGTGAAGGGCTCGGTGCCCACATCCCGGGCAGCACTCGTGTGTGTGGGCGGACCTTCCCTCGTGAAACCACAGCACTCGGTGAAACGTTCTTAGTGTGTTTCTACACAACATGATTGTGTATTAACACCTCGTTATCATTTTAGTTTGTGTTTCCCTAGTGACGGATGGTCCTGAATATGTTCTCACGTGCTTATCCATACATCTTCTCGGGAGAGCGTCTGTTCAAACTTGGGCCTACTTTTTCCTATAATTTTTTTCTAACTTTTTAGATGTTTTGTTTATTTTGGAGGGGGGGAAGCGGCAGAAAGAGAGGGAGACACAGAATCCGAAGCAGCTCCAGGCTTCACGCTGTCAGCACAGAGCCTCACGCGGGGCTCAAACCCACGAACCGTGAGATCCTGACCTGAGCCAAAGTCGGATGCTCGACCGACGGAGCCTCCCGGGCACCCCAGCCTGTTTTCATTTTTTCTGTCTTTCTTCTTTTTCATGTGTCCCTCGTATACTCTGGACACAAATCCTTTATCGGACAGGTCGGAAATATTTTCTTCCATCTCTGCTTGGTCGTTTCACCCTCTTGCTTTGTTCTGATTTGGCTCGTGCTGCTGGAGCTTCGGTCAAGAAGCCTGCCTGCACCCCAAACACAAAGACTTTCTCTTGGGTTTTTTCCTGCAAGTGTCAGGCTTCACCTTTATTCCCATGACACGTCCTGAGCTGAGTTTTGCGTAGGACGCACCACGTAGATCCAAGTTCTCGTCTCTGGCAGGTCCAGTCCTTCCCTGCCAAACTGCCTCTGCACCTTGCTCGACACCCACGTGTCCATAAACGTGTGGATTTATCCAGAGTCCCTCTCCTGTTTGTGAGCCTGTTTCCTCCTCTGCTCACGCCAGTCCTCCGACTTCGTCAGTTTGTAACGTCGTTTCGGACGTTAGGGTCCTTGACATTTCCACGCGGGTGTCAGAACCAGCTCCGCAATTTCCACCAAGCGGAGGGACCGTGGCCGACGTCACACTGAATCTCCGAGTCGCGTGATCGCACACATGGCACAGCTCTCCGTGGACGCAGCCTCCCTTGCTTCTCGGCGACGGCCGTGGTCCGCCCAGATCACCCTCCCCGGTGCCATGCTTTTGATGTTACCATAAATGCTGTTGCGCTGTTTTTACGTTCGAGTGCCGACCCGGCTCTGCTCCCGCGTGTGTGGCGCCTCCCACACGAAGCAGGTGACCTCGGCACGGCGAGCAGGGGAGCCTCACAGCCTCCTCCCCGCCCTGGGCACCCGGCACCAGGGTCAGCTTCTGGGCCGTCCCACCGGCTTGAAGCTCCAGGTAGAAGTGACAAGAGCGGGCATCGTGCGAGGCCCTGACCTCAGGGACGGCAGCCCGTCCTTCTGCCCTGGGCGTCGGCTGCGGCTCTGTCGCCGGTGGGGTCTGTCCCTCCGAGGAAGCTCCCTCTCTTCCGTCCAGAGAGCGATAGCAATGCACGGTGACCCCGAACCCTGGGGCGGGTGCCAGGAGGGGCCCGGGACCCCGTTCTTGTCTCCAACAAGGACTTTCCCTTCAGCCCGGGTGAGGCCGACCGGCGGTCACATAAGCCCTGCTCTGGTCCCCTGCAGGCCGGGGCCAGGCCTCATCCTCAGGGTCACGGGGACAGCGCCCAGAGCAACCTGGGGACTCACCACGAACACGCTCCCGGGCCTCCCCGCACAGCCTGGGACCCGAGATCTCCAGGGGCACGGCCTCTGAGTCTGTGTTGAAATTCTCCTCATGATTCGAGGGACCCCAGGGAAGTCCCCACCCGATGGCCACCATCCAGCCTCTGCCGTCGAGCAGCACAGGGCTCTCCTTGCTGGGGACACTGTGTCCCCAACACACGGGCCTGGGGCCATCAAAGTCCTCTCTACAATCTCCCGACGAGGTCACCGGAATGACAAGAGGCTGGGTTTGTGGTGACGCCTGATGGTTGACCAGAAAACCCGGTGCTCGTAAACCCGCTCCACAGACGTTCTCCCCGGGCTCGCTGGGTCACCCCACACAAGGGACTTCTCCAGAGCGACGTCCCCTCGGGGCACGCGGGGTCCCCACGGGAAACATCTGCTCTGACCAGAGCCCACGCCTGCAGACCCACAGGGAAGCAGGTCCCCATGGGAAAGAGTCGGGGAGGCACGGAGCAGAACCAGATTCCCCAAGAACCGCGGCGTCGAATGAGTCGCAGACTCCCAGCTGTAAGTTACGAGGAAGACGCAGGCCCTGCAGACCAAGCCCCCGCCCAGAACACGCGGGAGCAACGGGAACTAACGTCCCAGAAGGTGGATTAGCCCACGGATTAGACACGTCCACACAGTCAGCAGCCAGGAAGGAAGCTGCCGGGAACACAGCGCGGGAAGACAGGGCAGGAAGACGCCAGAGGCAGCCCGGGGGGGCAGCACGCGGGGCTCAGGCAGGCGCGTCCCGGTGGGTCAGAGCATTTAGGGGGGGCGATCGATCGTGCTGGGGCCGTGCTGACTTTGCACACCGGATGGGAGACATGAACCCACAGGTTTAGCACAGCAGCAGGCGGAGCCGAGGAACAGAGAGGACGCAGCGCCGCGGGTCCAGAGGAAGGCCGGGCCCCCAGGACGGCCGCGCGGCTGGACGACACGCCTGCTGAGCATCCACCAGCCAACAGCAAAGGCGAAACACAGAGGTTTCCGGCAAAGGCTGAGTTGACGTCAAAAGACGCCACTGAAGGAACCACAGAAGGGCCTTCAGGAAGGAGGACGCTAAGTCCCAGAAGGGAACCCGGCGGAGCTGGTGGCAAATGTAAGCAAGTCTCCCCAGTGTCCACCAAGTGGCGGATTCAGAGGATTAAGAAGGCGAAACCCGAACACAGGGCAGGGGCGGCGTGTGTGGGGGCGGGGGTGGGACCCGGAGCGCCGAGGGGAGGGCGACGGCCAGGCCTGGTGGGTGGGGGTGCAGCCCGCGCCCCCCGAGCCAGACTCACGCGGCAGGCCCCTCGCAGGCCGGGCGCTCGGCGGTGCGTCTCCGGCACAGACCCCTGGGCTCGTCGGCTCTGACCACCAGGCAATGGAAGTGGGGGTCCCCTGCACCTCACACCCTGCCCTGCCCTCGGGGGTCGCCCCAGGCCGCCTGGGTCTGCGGGAGCCCCTCCCGCTGGCCTTGGCTCCTCTGACCCCCAGCCCCACGGCGACCGCGTCACTCCAGGTGCTGGCCCGGTCTAAGGCTGCTCCTGCCCCGTGCCCGTCCACGCCACCCCGGCTCACGCCCACCGGGCCTTAGGAACGCGCGTGTTGTGTCCAGGTGGGTGACGAGGTGACGCCGCACAGAAGTGTGGCTGCTCCCCCACGGCACCTCCGTCACAGCCAGTCCTACCCAGCACTAACACCACCTCCTCCAGGAAGCCTGTGGGCCCAACCTGGCCGAGCCAGGTGCTCGTCCCCCTGACCCGGCCCCACCCCGGGGCCTCGCCCTCACGCCGGAAGCAGCGTCCTGACCACCAGGACAGCGTGAGCAGCTGGGGTCTGGAACTCGCATGAGGAGGACGGACGGGAGCCTGTAGGGCGCGCAGGGGTGGGGGTGCGCGCCTCAGGTGCCAGGCCTCCGACCGGCTGGGGGTGGGACTCGGCAGGGGCTCAGCCCTGGCTGTGGGCCCTTCCCAGGGACGAGGCCCCATCTCCCTCCACCAGGGCTCTCGAGGGGCCCCCAGGGCCAGGCCGGCGGCTCGGGCCCCAGGAACACGGCGGCCCCGGGCTGGGCTGACTTGTGCCGGCGGGAAAGGAAAAGTCCTCGGAGCGCAAGCACCCCACAAAGGGTGCCTGACTTTCCCTGCACTTGAGCCTCGTTAGCATTCTGCAGGCAGCGCCGGGCACTTAATAACAGCAAACAGGCTGAATGGACGGTTCCACATTCAGCGAACGGCTAGAGATGCTTCTACCCGCGCCCGACCTGCCCATTAGCATTTGCAGAGGGCCCCCATTTGCATTGCGACAATGGTCCTGCCCCCGAATCCGGAGTTGGGGGGGCACCGGGCATTTGTTGGCACAATTGTCCCTTGTGCCCACTCCGGGGGACGGCGGGGAGTGCGTCCCGGGGGCTCACCGGCGATGTGGCCAAACTCGGGCCAGAGCGGAATCCCGACAGCATGTGACGGGGCCACGGTGGCCCGGTGCCCAGCAGGGTGGGCGCCCCCGCCCGGTCCGCCGACAGCCCCCAGGCGCAGCCCCCTTTCCGGGACACGTTCTGCCCTTCTGCAGGGGACCGTCACCAAACGCGGGAGGAAACACGAGGGGTCAGCCGCCTGAGAACCACGCACTTGGCGGGCCGGGTGCCCGTGAGCACAAAGGGTCAGGAACAGTACACGCTTGTCCCCGCTGCCGCGTCTGACGGTGACCCCTCCCTCCCGAAGCCAGCAAGTGAGCGTGTTCTGGTGGGTGCGGGAACGGGTCCACGGAGCAGGGGACCCACACAGCAGTGACGAGACAGCAACGCACACGGCGTCAAGGACAGATGCGGCCACACGGCGGTGGCTCGGGACGCCCGCCCCCCCAGGAGTGGAGGGTCCACGCGGATGGGCCGCCTCCTCTCTGCCCGGCACGGGGCGCCAGCCACACGGGGGACCGAGGCGTCCGCAGCAGTGCGGGAGGAAGGGTGCTTCCGGGGCGGGGTCTTTGGGGGAAGGGCAGGACGCGGAGGGACAGACGCCTGGTCCGCGGGGGCAGAGCCCCCGTCCCCGTCCCCGAGCTGCCACCCCAGGCGCAGGCTCCTCACCAAGGCTGTCACCTGCGTCCACGGAGAAGTGGTCTGGCCTCCGCTCCTCTGAGACGGGCTCGCACGTGACGTGGGGGACCACGAGCGTCTTCTCTCCGGGGCTCAGCCCGTTGTCCTTGTCCAGTTTGAACTTCTTCTTCTTTACCTAAAACCAGGAGCAGTGAGGGGCTTCCCGCCTGCCCAGGCCCTTAGCAGCCCCGCTGGGCCCCTGCTGCAGGGAGGCACCGGGGGCTGGCAGACAGGCGTGCTGTGGGGGGCTCAGCACGGGCGCTGCTTGGCAGCACAGCCTGAGGGGCCGGCGAACAGGAAGCCAGGAAGCGGGGCGTGCGGGGAGGGGGTGGCCGGGAGGCCGTCGGGCATGGGGAGCCGGGTGCCCCCAGCAGGTGCGGGTACAGGCGCCACCCTGTTCCCCACACCAGCCCCATCGCAGCAGTCCTGCCCAGAGCCTGCCCGAACCCCCAGCTCCATGACCTGAAGACCGTCCTCCCCGAGCGGGGACGCCACCTCGGTCGCCACCGCGCCCACCGCGCCCACCGCGCCCACCGCGCCCGGCATAGAAAGCCTGACGTCAGGGCCCTCGCGAGAGCCTTCTTCCCAGCTGCCGGCCAGATCCCAGCCCGTCCTGCTCCAGCCCCACCCCCGCCCCGTGAGCCTCCCACGGCCCAGGGGGACCCCTGGGTGGCCAGGCCCGGCACGGGTGCCCTCCCCCAGGGCCCAGAGTGGCACCGAGGCCCTGCTGTGGTGCAGCTGCCGTGGCAGCCGTGGCACCAGGGGCTCCCCACCCGCTCGCGGCCCTGTAGGTGGCAGGTGGGCCATTACCATGACGGACTTCTTGGGCTTGGGGCTCGGGGACAGCAGGGTGTGGCTGCGGGCGGGCTTCCGGACGTAGATCTTCCAGGTGGAGGACTCTGGGTTCTCGGCCGCGTAGCACCTCCAGGCCGTCTGGACCAGCACAGGGGAGAGGCGGTCAGCTGCCGAGCCGCCCGCCCCCACCCGGGGGCCGCTCCCGCGCCAGGCGGCTCACGGCCTTGCGAGCTGGCCGGTACCTGCCGCTCAGACGTCACAGAGGCGTGAACCCCAGGGTCGCCCCCAGATGCAGACAGCCATCGGCTGCCTCTCCTCAGGGCACGTGCACCAAGTGCGGGGATGGACTCAGGCACTGAGGACGCCTGGGGCCCGGGGGCCTCAGGCAGGGGGTGCGGGGGGCGGGGCCCCACTGAGGCCCGCATGTGGGATCCAGTTGCCTGGTGCTGCCTGTAGCTGTGGGGAGGCCCTGGGCCCACATTCTAGAGAGACGCCTGTGGTGACCGCCACACGGAAATGACACAGAGGAGGGGCCCCTGCTGCGTGGGATCCAAGCAGAGGACACACTGCATCCGGGTGGGCAGCGGGGGACAGGCAGGGTCGTCACCACCAGAGGGCTGGCAGGTTCCTGGGAGGCTGTGACACCACCCACGACAGGGACCTGGACAGACACATCAGCCCTCTGCCCAGGACACTCCGGGGACGGCCATAGGCCTGGCCCCCCGTGGCCACAGGCCACCTCCGTGTCCCACCACCCCCACAAACGTATGGTGGCCACTCGCGTCCCGCCTCGGTCTGGTCTGCGTTCCCTCCTCGGGCCCCAGTCCTGGCACGGCGGACGTGTCTGCGCCCCTCAAGCCAGCACCCGAACCCGGCCTCCGCAGGGGTCCTCACCACGGGCCCCAGCACCGCCGGGAGCCCGCCCACAGCAGCCCGGGCTGGTTTCATGGGCCTGATTTGTGGTGTCCCCAAAAGGAGAAGCTGTGGGACCGTAAAACCAGGCCTAAGGGAGTCTGCCATTTCCTCCCCATTCCGGTTCCGGAAGGGTGCAGAAGGGCTTCAGAGGAACGAGGGGGCGCCTCTGGCTGAGCAGTGGCTCCCAGGCCGAGCAAAGCCTGATGGCTGCTGGCCCTGCCCAGGGCAGAGGGTGCAGGAGACCAGGGGCCCGGGGAGTGGGGGACTCCAGGACCGTCCCCAGGGGGCATTCAGCACCGAGCGTGGCTGCCCAGCCGCACGTCCCCGGCTGGACACTGACAGGCCTATGCCCAGGACCCCCGACCAGCTGCTCCCTAGGTGGGACCTGGGTGTGCTCCTCCCTGCTCTGCCCCAGGAAGTGGCTGGTACTCCTGCGGGACCCGGCTTTCAGCCCTGGTTGCACTAAAAGAACCAGCCGTCCTGTGGTGAACCTGGGAGCCTGGGGTCGCAGAGCTGAGTGTCTGGGGGCTGCGGGCCACCCTCCTTCCCCCACTCCTCCTAGGCCCCGTCTCCTCCAGCACCCAGGCCTCATCACAGCAGCCTTGGGGTCCCCGTCGGGTGAATCCAGAGAGTGGCCGGGCTGTGGGCTCGCCAGGCCTCACCTGCTGTCACCCGGGAGTCCCCAGCTGCATGGGGGGCAGGGAACACCCAGGAGGCCCCTGGGCTGCACAAGCAGGGCCCTAGACCCTTGGGGTTTCCCTCCCAGACTTGCCCCCGTGCCGAGCAGGGGCGTAACCACAAAAGGAGAGCAAAGACCCAGGCCAGTCACTGCAGCTGGAAGGTGCGGGGCCCACAGAGTCCACCCCAGCCCGGGACTGGCCAGGGCACGTCGCCGTCCCCCAGCACCCACTCTTGCACAGGACCCTCCGGGGGGGAGATGGGTGCCCGCGCTCCTGTGCCCACGTCTCCCAGGAGAGGCACGTCTGTGCCGGGGCATCAGCTCGTCAGCGTTCCGGAGGGGCCCGCAGCCAGAGGGTGTCCTGAGCTTTGGGCGGAGAGCAGTTCCTGACCTCCAGAGGGGACCCCAGCCTGTACTGAACCCACACACGCAAGGCCGGACATGACAACGGCAGGCACGTCACCTGAATGAGAGACGCTGCTGCTGGAATCTGCCTGTTGAAGTGTTTCTGCCTCTGCTTCTGCTGGACCTTCAGGGCGAAGCCAGAGCCGAGAATCCCCTAGCAAGGACCAGAGACCAGGGCTCGTGTCCACGCAGGCAGCCACCGCCCAGCCCGGCCCGTGGGACACAGGCGCTGGGGACACAGGGCAGCCCTGGGCCACCGGCTCGGGCAGGAGTAGCCCCGTCCGAGGGGGACTGCGGCCGCCTCGCCAGGATTGGGGATGGATGAGGCCGGCTGATCAGGGAAGGAGCTCCCCGTCCATGGAGAGAATCAATCACACACCCACGTAGATGCCTGTGTGCTCTACGTGATATGTGCACACAGAGCACACACACAACCCGTGTACACTTACCACACACACGCACGGCACATACAGCAGGTGCACCAAACACGTGCACACATGAGCACGCACATGCGCACAAAGTATGCACACATGTACACACACCACACACGTGTGTGACACATGCACATAATCCAAACACGCCCACACTCTATGTGCACACACGTGACACACGCACCTATGTGCGTGTGGGGCACTAGAAGGTGTAGCCCTCGCGGTCTGATTTCTGGGAAGGACAAGCCGGGCCCAGGCCGCCGTGCGAGCAAAGCAGCACCCTCACCAGGCACGTGGAGGCAGCCTCCGCCCTCACGTGGCGCCTGTTATCGGTGTCTCCCCGAGACCCCTCGGGCCGAACGTGCGGCCCCCACCCCGCTGGCCGCCACCCACAGCAGAGGAGGGCGGGGGCTCCCCGGGGCCCTGCAGCTGGCAAGTCGGGCCTCTGTGAGTGGGCTTGTCCCTGGAGACCCTGCCTGCCCGGGAGCCCGGGGGAGGCGGGAGCACCTACCGCTGGGAGCGCGAAGAAAGAGATGGCGAACACGGAGAAGCAGGAGGCGATGGTCTTCCCGACCCACGTCTGGGGCACCTTGTCCCCGTAGCCGATGGTGGTGACCGTGACCTGCGGGAGGGGCAGGGGTCAGCGGTCGGGCCCGAACCCACCACTCTGGCGACACAGACACGGAGCTCCAGCCGCCCCCCCCCCCCCCCCGCCACCGAGACGGCCGAGGCTCAGCCGACGCCAGCGCGAGCCCCGCGGACGGTTGGGGTCCGGGAAGCGGGTCCCTGGGGCTGCACGGGGCCTGCCGCCGGATGCACCGCCAGGGGCCCGACCCCAGGAGGGCCAGGCTGGTCCCACTGCTCCGCCGCCCGCCCCATCCCATAGGAGTCCTGCCACCCAGGCCACCGACGTGGCTGAGCCGCGGCCCCCGGGAGGCCGGAAGCTCGCACGGAGGCCAGTCCTCCACCAGGAGCCCGGACGGGGCTGATGCGCTGCCTCCTGACGCCGCCCCAGGCACCAGATGTTCCCGCCGCCCTTCTTCCCGGAGAACCAGACGCAGCTCCAGCCTTCTTCTCGGTGGGGGAGCCGACCGTCAGAGCTCGCGGCGGGACCACGGGCGCGGGGCCACCCCCTCCCCACCCAGGCTCGCATCTGAGGTTTGCCCCCCGGGGCCTCCAGCGTGAGCCGGAGTACGACAGCCTGCGGGAGCCGAGGGCCCACCCTGGCTGCGCCCGTCACTCACCCCGACGTCCCGGGCCCACGCTGCCCGGGGCCTGGGGCCGCCCCCAGGCTTTGCAGGAGCCGGCGGGGGGACCTGGGCCTCACACACGTCTCGTGGGCGCACTCACAACCGCACGGCACGGCGGCCCAGAGCGCCACGTGGCCTCCTACCTTGGAGGTCCGCCCGGCCGGCACCTGCCCGCCCTGTGCTCGTGTGGGTCTGGCCAGTCCGTTCCGGGCCCGCCGGAGCCTCGGCCCAGGGAGGCCTGCACGGAGCCTTCACTTGACGCCCTGCCCTGGGGACGCGGTGCGGGGAACGGGGGACACAGAGCCGGCCTGGGAGGGCCCTGGCCGAGAGCAAGGCCCAGGCAGAAAGTCCCTGTCCATCCCGGGACCCCGGTGGGTGCCTTCCAGCAGCCATGGGGCACGGACGGAGGAACCCCGTGGCCGCAGGCAGGCAGGGACACACGCGCGTCTGCTCAGAGCCGCCGGGGACAGAGGCGGGCGCGGCAAGAGGGGCCACGGCGCGGGAGGCCCAGTGACACCCGCGGGCGCGTCAGCACGCGGCTGCTCCAGGCAAGCGCGGAGCGTCCCCGAGCGGCGGCCGCTGTGGAGCCCGGCGGGCGCGGCTCTCGCGGCCCTGGCCTCCCACGACGCCCCGTCCCTCAGAAACCCTCGCCTCACACGGACACCGGCCCAGAGCTGCCTGCCGCCCGGCACTCGGAAGGGACCGGAGGGGCCCGTGGAGGTGGGCGCGTGCCCACGAGGGGGCCCCCACGCACGCGTGTGAGCACCTCTCACACGCACTCGGAGCGAGCAAGGGCACGTGGGGCGGGGCCGGCGCCCACACTGGCCCGACACCCGCAGGGGTTTCCAGACACACCTGGGCCTCGCGCGGGGGCCGGGGAGCCCGGGAGGCCTGCGCCCCACATGTGCGGCCGGGGCCACGGTGCTCTGGGGCTGCAGACAGGGTGAGGGCGTCTGGGACGCAGCCCCCGCCCTCTGTCAGAAGATACAATTTTTCATAAAGCTATTTTATTTATAAAAACATAGGACGGGCCTGTTACGGTTTTCATGAATTAATACAAACATGTCTTTTAAATCCCCGTCGTGCTTGCCTGCCTGCTGAGAACTGACGGGTAACCCAGCTCTGCAGCGACAGGGCATGAAGTGGTCCAGGGACCCACAGGCCTGAGAATGGCTGATGTGGGGGAGGGGCGGGGGAAGGGGGAGGGGCGAGGGGGGGCAGGGGCTGGGGGGAGGGGCGCCAGCAAGGCACTCCCCACTGGGGGGCAAGGGGGCACCAGAAAACTCAGGCATCAAGACCATCGATATGTAACGTGGCCTTTAAAGCTATAGATATCAATACAAACAAAACGGATGCAGACTGGGAAGCGAATGTGGGGGGCAGGGCGGGGGCAGCCCGGACGGCCCTGGGGGCGGGGTGGGGCCCCCCGAGACCGTCTCCCTGAGCAGACAGGCCTGCACCCAAAGGGTGGCCCCTAGTGCCCTTCCCCGGCCCCGCGCCGTCTGGGGTGCTGGGGCTCCCGGGGCCCAGGCGGCGGAGGTTGGGGTGCCCGGCCAGGCGTCCCCCGGGAGGGCACACGCCTCTCAGACCCGGGCACAGACCCGCTTTGTCAAGTTAACGACGTCCTTGGGCTCTGGGAGGAAACGGCCCATCCCTACAGAGTTGTTTGTTTTTCCTGAATCCAGAGCCGCGGGCGGCCGCCGAATAGTGCTCCCCGCCCGGTGCTCCACATGCGCTCCCGGCGAGGCGCCCCCGGCCCGCACACACAGGAGGCGCAGCGCGGCGGCCGCCCCAGGTGCCGGGAACAGGCGGAGTGCACACCACCCCGGGGACGGGACTGTGCCGGCAGGGGGCCCAGCCGCCGGGGTCCTCGGAAAGCCGACACGGGGCGTGTGTTCGCCTCCCCTGCGGAGGGACCAAGGCACCGGGAAGGGTCCCCTCACACACTCTCCGCCCTGAGAAGCCGGCACGGGAGGCACCGTGGCCCAGAGCCCCCACTGGCACCGGCGAGGCGGGCGGCCCGCACACGCTCAGGGTTGACTTGTGAGTGTCATGAGGTAGGACCGTGTCACGGAGGGGAGACCGCGTGCGCCGGAGGCCCCACCGCTGCTAAGTGACTGAGCAGGCTCGGCCCCATGCTCCACACGGGGACCCCAGGACGCTGCAGAGAAACCCCAGGCCGGACACCGTGCCCCCAGCCTGCCCCGAGGAGGCCGGGAGGACGCGGCTGGCGACAGGAGAAATCACGGACCGAGCGGGGCGCCCGGTGGGCGGTGGGACCGGCTCGAGCAGCAGGTCCTCGGGGGCGCCCGTCCCAGGGGTGCTCCCTGCCCCCATGGGGCCCTGGCCCAGCTGGCGGGAAGCGGCCACGGAGGGGACAGACGCACATGGGGGCAGGGAGCAGCCCAGCCAGGCATGCAAACCACGGGTGACAGCCAAGCAAACGCAGACCCCAAAAGAAACCAGCTTCCTTTCCGCGGGAAGGACTAAATAAATGAACCCAGACCCACGCGGACCAGAGCCTCTCGCTTAGCAAGTGCGTCTTCCACTCACGGAAACCGCTGGCACTCTGGGCCACACAAACATCTGCAGCCTTGCTGGGCTTGCAGCCCCTCGGAGAGCCCACGTCAGCCCCCGGAGCCATTCTGTTGCCTCTCCATTTTACAGATGGGGAAATTGAGGAGCGGAACGGTCACACGCTCACTGGCCCCAGGCCCAGTTCACCAGTGCACCTGAATAGGCATCTACGGAAGTGACTCCGTGGACCACCCTCTGCGTCCACCACACGGCCTGATGAAGGGCGTCATTCATTCCTGAGTCCCTTCGCCTGACCCAGGCCCTAACATGGGGATCAGAAACGTGGGGTCCTTGGGGTTCCGTGGGGGCAAAACACATGCACAGAAAGGGGTTACCCTGTGAGGAAGGTGCTGGAGGTGGGGAGCCAGCAGGGGTGGAGCAGGACTCTAAAACCCAGAAGGGCTAAGGAGTGTGACTGGGGACATGGCAGCCACGAACACTGTAGTGTGAGTAAGCATCAGCCTAGAGAAGGGGGCTAGTGACAGCCCCCCACAGTGTGTGGCACGCCTCTGCCGCCTCCTTGCTGGGTGCCTGGGGCCCCAGGGTCCTGTGTCCTGATTTAACTTCTCCCACAGTTGGTGGGCATAGGCCCACGCTTGGTACCCAGCTTACAGATCGGCTCAGAGAGGTGGGATGACCTGTACCGGGTGGCACACGTGGTCAGCGGTCCCGCTGGGATGCGGCTCCGCCCCCCCTCCTGACCACAGCCTCCTAGCTCACTGTTTCCTGAGGCCGACCACGCGTCTCTCCCTGGGGCAGAGCCGGAAAGCTCCTACCCTCACTGACACGACCCGAACGCCCACCCCCAGGAGAAAGCGAGCCCGTGCGCCACCCTCGCCGGGCCTGCCAAGTCACGTGAGAAAGCCTCCCCAGGTATCGGCCGGTGCGCAGGAAGCGCAAGAAGACACACTCCTACCCATCCCACAAAACCCAGTGTACGTCCTTCCCTGGGGAGGCGCCCAGCGCCCAGCGCTCTTACCCCGACCTGACGGGCTAACGGGCACAAGACTGTGCCTGGGGCCCTGCGGACCTCGCTTCTCGGCTGGTGGCCTCTCAGGCTCAGTAGGGAGCTCCGGGCAGAGCACGGGGCCTAGACGGGTGGGGTCTGACGCTGGGCCGGGGCCTGGCCTGCCACCCGGGGCCCCAGGGCCTCCATCTTTCCAGCTTCAGATGCGGGTCTCATGGACGTGTGGGGCGTCCTGCCCTCACGCAGCCCCCAGGCCCCTCCGGAGCCACCAGCTGCCGAGAGCGAGCGGGAGCCGGGCCGGAGCGCCGGGACAGGCCTCCAGCGTTTCTGCTCTGAATTCTAAATTTAGATGCGGGGGTAAACAGAGCCCGGCGGCCTCCTGAGTTTAGAGACCCCCGGGCGCTAAACAGAGGAGCCCGTGTTTGCAAAAACGGCTTTTCCCTCCACTCAAACTTTAACACAAACAAACGCATTTTGTTCCAAGGGCACAGAAAAAGGTCTTAAATCCTCCCCAAACACCTCAGCAGCCAGGCACAGGGTGCCACGCTTGGGGGAGCAGGGAGCTCTCACGCCAGAGCGGGGCGTCCCCACCAGGGAGGGGGCTCGGGTCGCTGGACAACCTAGGGACCGAGGCTGGGGGAGGCGGGGGGCCTCCTCGGGAAGTCGGGCCCACTCGGCAGCCCCGGGCTGCGGAATAGCGTCCCCCCAGCACCCGTGTGCGCCCAGGCCTTTGGAACACGAGTTTCTTCCGAAACGAGGCCTTTGTCGAGGTGATCGTGTTAACATCTCGAGTCGAGGTCGCCCTGCTTTGTTCATCTCGGCAGGTCCCAAACCAAGGTCAGGTGTCCTTACCAGGGACAGAAGATGTGGCCACAAACGCGGGGACCCTGAAACCCTGGAACCCGGCGCGGGCAGGAAGGACCCTCCCCGGGAGCTTCCGAGGCGGGTGCAGCCCTGCCCAGGCTTTGATCTCGGGCTTCTGGTCTCCAGACTGGAGCGGGGCGGAGGCGGGGGGGGGGACACATTTGTCTGGTCTTGAGAGCCTGGGTCTGTGGGACTTAGTTACAGCTGCCCCAGGAGCCTGGTATGCAGTGTCCTCGGTGCCACGGACAGGGCCACCCCACGGGCTCGTCCACTCGTTCATTCGCACAGCGACCACTGGGCCTACGCGCCGAGGACACACGAGGCCCAGGCGCCCCCTCACGGGGTCTGTCCCGTGTGACTCTGAGAAGCTGGTCTGGCTTCTGGCCAGCCCCCAGCCCCGGTGCGGGGTGACAGGCACGGGGACTGACGACCCAGTGTAGGGACCAGGACCGGCCCAGCCTGCAGCCTTCGCCCCCGGGGGGGTCCCCCTGGCGGCACCCCCTTCCCCGTCCGGCCCAGATACGGAGCCTGGGGGCGGGCCTGGCACCCCCTCCCAGGAGAGGTGAGCGGAGCCAGGACTGGGGAGCCGGTCGGGAGCAACCGCCAGGCGCAGTCACAACCCGCCACCCTGGCTTCAAAGCCCCCAGCAGGGCCGCCGTCCTGCTTTCCTGGAGCTGCCTGTCCGAGCCGCGCCAGGAACACAGCCCATAACTCAAGCGTCGGGGCCGCTCCTGCCCGGACAGCTGCAGGGGCGGCCATGCGATGAATAGGAGCCGTTTGCCCCGGGAGCCCCGGGGGGCGGGGGGCCCGGGGCGGCCCAGAGGCGCGGGGCCCGGCGGGAACAATGGCCAGGCCAGGGCCCGCGGTGGCCCGGGCTGGGGCTGCAGCTGACAGTGAGGGCTGGGGCACCGGTGCCAAGCTGGGCACAAAGGGGCCGTTTTCCCGGCCGGCGGGCGGATGTTTGCACAGGTGTGGGAGTGGGGGCACTGCTCCGCCGAGCGCGGGGGGCAGGGGGGCGGCCTCGGCGGCCCGCGGCTCCTGGAGCGGCCTCGGGAAGGCGGGGAGGCCGGTGCCAAGGCTGGGCACAGCTTGTCAGCCGGGCCTCGGGTGCTCTCTCACTCACCTCCTCCCGGTCCGGGCAGCCTGTCCCCACACGGGGCCCGGCACCAGGACCGGCCCCTCCCCCCCCACGGGGAGCTCCCTGCCCCCCCCGCCCCCGACCTGCCGGGGCCTGCCGTGCCTGGGCCCACGGGCACACAGAAGGGCGGACGGGCAGACAGAGACCAGAACCGGGGCCTTCCCCAGCCCCGAGTTGGGTCCCTCGAGTGGCCTGTCACGCTGGAAGCTTCCAGAAAACACGCAGACTCGCCAACATCAGGAGTCCTTCCTGTGTGCTTGGCCTCCCAGGCATGGAACGCGGACACGGCAGGGGCGTGTCCACCGGGGGCCACGGGGAGGCTTCCTGCCCCGCCTGGACAGACCGGGGTGGGCCTCCTTTCTGGAGGAGGGTGGGGAGCCCCAGGAGAGAGCAAGGCTCACTTGTTCCAGAAGGAAAAGCCTGGGACAGACACGGCCGGGGCCCTGCCCAGCGCTGGCCCCACGGCGTCACCACACCCCGTGCCGGCCGGGACCCTCTCCTCGCCCCCGCCTTGCCCCAGTCGGCCTGGACATTGGCTCCAAGGGGCTCCCCTCCTCATGCAGCCACACAGCCTGTAGCAGGGCCCGTGTCCACGGCTGTCTCCCTGACCCGGCTCCGGCTCAGCTGCAGGCCCTTCTGGGGCGCTAGCTGGTCGCACCCCAGGGCACTGTGAAGGAGGGGGCGCCGTACCCCACAGAAAGGTGGGGAGTGTGGGAGCCCGGCCCGTGGCCCACGCGCCATCTCTCCCCACAGCAAGCGTCCACCCCGGCTGCCTCAGGGCCCCCAGTCCCATCCCGATCCCTGTGGAAGGTAAAGCTGCCATCCACCTGCAGTCAAGTGCCTGGAACTTTCCTCCCTACAAAGCCCTGGCTGTGGGTGGAGGGGGTGGGGGGTGCGGTAAAGGGCACCCTTCACGCCCTGAACAGTTTCTCCCCAGGCCACACGGTGAGGATGCGGCCAGGACTCGGGGTGCACGAGGCTGGCCGGGCGTCACTTGGCTGTCCACGGCAGTGAGCGGTCCTCAGCGGAAGGTCCCCCTCACCCCCCGTGAGGCTGACCTGACAGGACCCCTGGCCGCCCTCCTGTGGGGACCCCTGCCTTACATCCGCCTCTCCCGCCGGCTCACAGCTCGGGGAGCCGAGGGCTGCGCAGCCCACGTGGGGCCAAAGTGGACCTGGGGTGCTGGGCACTGGGCCCTGCCCTTGGTGCGCCTGGGGAGCCGGCCCCGCGGCCAGAGCAGGGAGCACTTCTTTCTCACGAGGTCCCCTTGCCCGTGGTATCACGGTGCTGTGGGTTTGCTCTGTAATGTAGCGCTCCCCGGTGCAGGGAGGGTCCTGGGGCCAGTGTAGAACCCCCCCAGAGGGCAAGGCGCGTGCCTGACCACCCCCCACCAGGGCAAAGGGCGGCAGGGGACCCAGCCTGGGTGGGGGCAGGGGCTCCCAGCTCCTGCACGTGCCCCGAGCACACAGGGTCGACCGTGGGTCCCCTCCCAGCAAGGGCCCCGGGCTGCCAGCTCCCGCCGCAAACCTTCCCATAGACACCCTCCTTCACGTCTGTGGCCTGCAGGCTCGAGAACCCTGTGCCCTCAGACCCCGGGTGGCATCCCGCCCCTCCGCTGCCCGAGGCGCCCGTCCCCACTTACCACCCCCCACCACAGAGCATCCGCGTAGCTGCCAAACTCCACTTGGCCCGACTCGTTCACGGCGTCCTTCTCGGCCAGGTACACGAAGTACGAGGAGAAGATGAGGCCCAGGAAGCCGATGTACAAGGTGGTGATGAGCTCCTGCGGGCAGAGCGGGCAGAGGATGCGGGTCAGCAGAGCACGCGCGGCGGCCCAGGCCTCTGCGACCTTCCCGACAGATGGCGCAGGCGGGGGGCCTGCCAGGTGCAAGCTCGCCTCTCCCAGAGGGTCCCACGAGGTCCTCATGCCCACACTGGACCCGTCACCACCCGTCTCCCCAGGGGCCAGCGTGGGGCCCTGGCCGAAGCCTGGACAGAGGAGCCGGCTTGCACGGGCTCGTGGGCTGCCGGGCTCTGTCCCCGAGACCCAGGGTGATGTGCCCCGTCTTCCAGGGGCTGTTCCCGTCTGCTGCTCTTACTGTCTGGGCCGCTTAGAGCCTCTCTCTCCATCCTGCACCTCTGCCCCCTGCTCTGCCCCGGCCTCCCAGCCCCAGCCTCACCCCAGCCTCCCGGCTCCAGCCTCCTCTCCTCAGCCTCGCCCCTGCCTCCTGGCCCCAGCCTCCCGGCCCCAGCCTCGCCCCAGCCGGAAGGAACACGGGCACATCGTCGGTCCGGCAGGCCGCCGAGACTCGGCCCTGCACCCCGTGCTCCCACCTGGGGCCCCTGCGCACACACCTGCCGGTGGATGAAGACCACAGAGCCCAGCAGCCTCCAGGTGCCTCCCTGGCGATCGACATGCAGCATCCTCAGAATCTGGAGGAAGCGGATGCCCCTGCGGGGGAGACGCCTCTGTGCCCCTGCCCCCGACTCGGGCCCCTGCGCAGCCCCTCGCAGCCGGGCTCTGCGTCTGCCTGCTCCCTGCCCAGCAAGCCTCCCTGCCCCTCCTCAAGCACAGGGTCAAGGCCTGGGGGGCGGGGGGTGGGCATGCCAGGCCCCAGGCGAACCTGCCCATCTCCAGATTCCTTTGGTCCCCAGCCCACCTTGTGGGGAGGCCCTTGGATCACCCTGGTTTACAGAGGGGCAAACTGAGGTCCCTGGATGGTGAGGTCACAGCCCCAGTCCCAGAGGCGCTCTCGCTGGGCCTCAAACCCGGGCAGCCTACCTCAGCGTGGGGCCTGAGCACGGGCCCCCACCCAGCACGCGGCCCCGCGCCCCCAGCCGGGAGAGCTTGTGGCCCAGGAGTACCTGATGGCAGAGGTGGCAAACACCTGCCCTTTGGAGCCCACGCAGAGGACGACCATGGAGGCCAGGACCACGATGAGGTCTAGGGGGAAGGGGCGCGTGTCAGCAGCCAGACGCCGGCTCAGGGGAAGGAGCCTGGCAGTGAGGAGGGCAGGGTCACTGGGACGGGGAGACGGGCCCTCTGTCTCAGGCCCACGCGGCCACCTCCCAGCCACGCTGCCAGGTCGCTGGGCCAGCAGACACCTGAGGCCGCCTCCTACGCCGCAGGGCTCAGGCGGTTACCCTGCGGGCCTCGGGGGGACTCTGCTGGTGCTCGTGACGGGGCCCGCCTTGCCGGATCCCCTTCTCTGGGGGCGGGGGGGGCAGTGCCCAGCCCTCGCCTGGCAGCCTCGGGGCGAAGCTCCCCTGGGGGCAGGCACGACTCACCGATGATGGAGATGGGCTTCCGGGCGAAGCGCAGCCGTCCCCAGACGCCCACGTACTTGCTGCGGCAGCCGGCCGACCAGAGGCGGACCACGTACTCCGTCCCGAAGAACACCACCAGCACGATCTCCTGTGAGACAGAGGCGGGTGAGCCGGGCCTGGTCTGCGGGGTGCGTGGTGCCGGCCACGTGACCCAAGGCCAGGCCCACCACCCGTGGACACCTGCCGCTCTCCAGAGTGGGGCCCGGCCGGGCCGCGTCCACACCCGGGCCTGGGAGCAGCTCAGGCCTTGTGTCCTCGCCCGGCCCTGAGACACGCGACGTCCTGGGGCTCAGTCGTCAAGCCGGCACTCGTGTCAACCACGAGCCCCCGGAGCTCAGGCCGCACATCCTGATTTGGGTGAAACCCCCCCATTTCACCTCACAGCCCCCGCAGCGCCAGGCACACGGTACCCGGGGACACTGGGAGCGTCCGCTGGGGCCTGAGTGCAGGAGCGCCAGGGCAGGGGGGAGGGCGTCACGGGCAGCACCGCTCAGGGCTCCTTCCACAGCCAGGGCACCTCGAGGAGGGGACACCAGGACACCAAGGGCTAACGTCCAGGCCACGGAGGACGGGTAGTCGGGTAGACAAATGAAGAGACATGGTACAAAAACCAAGTTCAAGGGGAAACACACCAGGGGCGCCTGGGGGGCTCAGTCGGTTAAGCAGCCGACTTTGGTTCAGGTCATGATCTCGCGGTTTGTGGATTTGAACACCGTGTCGGGCTCTGTGCTTGCAGCTCGGAGCCTGGAGCTGCTTCAGATTCTGTCCCCCTCTCTCTCTGCCCCTCCCCGTTTGCACTCTGTCTCTCTCTCTCTCTCTCTCTCTCTCTCAAAAATAAACATTACAAACCAAAAAAAAACCCCAAAAACAAAGGAAAACAAACCAGACAACCCAGTGACGTGGACAGACGGAGGAGGAAGTGGGAAATCCTACTAGATCGGAACCAGCGACCAAAACTCTCCCAACAAAGAGAAGCCGTGGCCCGAAGGCTTCACGGGTGAATTCTGCCAGACGTTGGGAGAAGAACTGACCCCGGTGCTTCTCCAATTTTTCCAAGACACTGCAGAGGGGGACACTTCCTAGCTCGTGCTGCGGAGCCAGCACGTCCCCAACCCCAAAGCCAGACAAAGACGCTGTGAGGAACGAGGAGCCCAGGTCGGTCTCCATTGAGCCCGGGGGCAGGAAGGCCCAGCAAGGCACCCACGAGCCGGCTCGGCGGCCTGTTAGGAAGATCACACGCTACGACCGAACGGAGCTGATTTTTGGAAGGACGGCTCGGCACACCGAGACGTCACTCACAACACGTCACGGCAACGGAACAAAGGGGGTAAAAACGCACGACCTGAGTCGATGTGAAAAAAGGCATGTGACAAAATCGCACACCTTGTCACGCTGAGACCAGTGAACTAATCAGGACACGAGGAGACCGCTGCGCGTGACGAAAGCTGCACCTGAAGACCCACAGCACACACCTCGTAGATGCCAGCTTTTCCTTCACCGCCGTGGATGCTGCTCGACAATCCAGCCGGAGCAGGGGCGAGGGACACACAAGAGGCGTCCCGACTGGAACGAAGTAAAATGACTTCTGCTCACGGGTGACACGAACTTACGTGTAGAAAACACAGATTACACACACGCACAGGCACAACCCACCTGTTAGATCTTTCTAGAATTCAGCCAGGCAGGTACAGAGGTACAGAGCCAGCAAGCAACTGCATCTCTGAGTCACTTGTACCATTTCCACCAACCGTGAACAGTCTTTAAAAGAAACGACTAGAACGATTCTGTTTACAGTCGTGTCAAAGAGAATAAAGCATCTGTGAGTTAATGAAGGGGGAAGAAGCCGGGCACGATGAAAACTGAAAACATTGTGCCGGGAAACGAAAGGAGGGGCGGCGCAGCCCCCGCCCCCGACCGCGGAGAAGCCGCCAGCACCCGGGTGGCACCCCCGAATCCTGATGGGGGTGCTGTAAGAAGTCATCTTAAGTTCACATGGAATCAAGGAAATTTGGACCAGGCCGAACGAAAGGGGCGCATCCGTACAAGGGATGCAGGACGGAGGCTCTGACGCCGCTCCAGCAGGGATGGGCCCGGGGGGCCCAGGAGTCCCGAACGGCCGAGGCGGCCAACCCCTGCCCTTTGGAGCCCACGCAGAGGATGACCATGGAGGCCAGGACCACGATGGGCGGGTGGGGGTAGGGGCGCGTGTCGGCAGCCAGACGCTGGCTCACGGGAAGGAGGCGATGCGGATCCTCCTCCCCTGGAGGCAGCCTGGCGGGGGCCTCGCTGGGTGGCAGTGCCGGCCCTGCTCCACAGCCCGCCTCTGCCCTCCCCTCCAGCCAGGGGGCCCGCCACGAGAGGGTGGCTGGACACTGCCCATGGGCTCCGGAATGCTGTGCCTTGCGCAGCTTGTGTTGGGGGCAAGCTCGGTGGATAACGGGGGGAAACGTGGGAGATTTTGCAAAAAAGTTCTGTTCGCAACGTCGCGTCGTTCTGGGGGTGGGGTCGCACGCAGCCCGGAGGGGGCAGGGGCACGCAGGCCCGTACACTCCGGGACCTCGCGGGGGCAGCGGCCACATCCACTGCCCACCGGAACGGGACCTGCCCTGGCCACGCTCAGTGTGGACCCAGCGAGCGAGCGGGCCGACAGCTCCCCGCCCGCGAGGCTCCATCCTGCTCGCGTGTTTCCCCAAGCACCTGGCCCTGCGGTCCCAGCAGGCGGCCTGAGCGCACTGGGCCTCCAGGGTGTGGCCGTCGCCTCCCCGTCCCCCAAGTGGAGACACCGGCACCAGTGTCTTCGTGGAGAAGCGGCCACCTGGCCACTCGGGGATCCCCGCCAGAGCCGTGCCCGGGGCCCCCTCCCCGCCCTGCGAGTCCAGGCACCATCCAGCTCATCAGTCACTTCCCGGGTTTCGTTCTTGTTTTGGTGCATGTTTTTATTGTTTAAATCCCTCCCTCAGCTGTACCCTAAGCAGGTTTAAAGCACTAGAAACGTCTTCTGAAAGACCCTGAAATAAATAACTATCAGGGGTCACCGGGTCTCCCCCACCAGCCCCCAAATTATGTCGGTCTCACCCTTGGGGAGAACCCAGTCTGGAGCACGGAGCCGCCCCTGCTCTCCCAGGGCTGCTGAGAGCACAGTTCCCCTCTGGAGGGTGAGTGCAGGAATAATTTAAAACAATGCTAATCCTCAAATCCTGTTTGGGTTTGGAATGCAGCGCGAGGCCCGGCGGGCTGCGTGGGTGCTCACCCTGTGTACACGAGGCCCAGACGGGGCCGGGCTGCGCGATGCCACGCGGCCCACACGCGGGGAAGGGACGGGACGAGTCCCTTCCCACCCGGAGGCACGGGGCAGCGGGGAAGCATGCTTGCCCGGAGTGCGGGGTGGGGAGGCACTCGGGGTCACACCCAGGCCCTCAGAGCTGGGTGCTGCGTGCCGGCGCCCCGGGGGGCTCACCCTGGCCCGCCCAGCCCACCGCTAGCTCCTGGAGCCGCCTGTCCTCTGACGGGCGGGCCTGGATGGGCCTGCGGACCCGCAGGCGCCCTGGAAAGTTTTCACAGGAAGGCTGGAGGCCGCTGTGGGGCTGTGACTGGCCTTGATCGTCCAGCTGCGGAGACTGGTGTTGGGGGCCTGTGGGAGGAGCAACTTCTGTCATCTGTGGAGCCACCCCCGATTCGAGTGCGGCGTCCCCAGCCCACGGCAGGCTCAAGGATGGCACGGTGCCCCTTCCCAGAGCCCCAGTGGCCCAGACCCAGGAAGGTGTCCCTGCCCCGGCCACCCTCTGGGCCCAGAGTTTTCTCTGCAGGGACAGGCCTAAGGCCTGTCTGTCTTTGCTTCCCAGGCCCTAAGCAAGCCTCAAAGGTGACTAAGGGGCCCCCAGAGCCTGCCAGCTGCTGTCACCCCTGCCCCGGGCCCATTGACATCACTCCCCACTGTCCATACCAGAGGGTCGAGGTCTGCGGCCCCTTCCCCGGGCCTCACCCCCTCCTCCATCCTGAGAGCCTCCCGCTGGCCCACCGCAGGTGCTCCCGGCCCAGCTCCCACCGGGGCCCTCACACCCTCCTCGGTCCAGCTCAACTCCCCCACCCCTGGGAGCCGCACCCACCAGTCCTGTGGAAGCCACGTGGCTCCCCGCCAATGACACAGCCAGCCCAGGGGTCCTCTCGGCCAGCTCCACACAGCGCCTGCATCAAGGACGCGGGCAGGAGCCTGGGACGTTGATGGAGTGCGGCCCTGAGCCTGCCCTGCAGCTCCAAGCACGGAGGCGCCCTCATGTCTGGGAGGTCACAGAGGCCACAGTCAAACCGGAGGGATGAAGGGACCTTCCCATCCCGGCTGCCATCAGCTTCGGGGCCCAGGGGCTGGTGGGCCAGGGCGGGCGCTGGGACCGGACGACAGACCCGAGTGTTTACCACCTGCTGAAAGCGGAGACACGCACCTCGCGGGCCCAAGCGTCCCGCGAGCCCCCCACCCTGACCCGCGTCCTCCCACGGGTGTCCGGCCGGCGTCGGGCCTTCCCGGGGGTCCTCCCTGTGCCGGGGCTCAGGGGTGGCTCTCAGCAGTGACCCTCGTACAACTCAGCACCATCTTACAAACAAGTTCTAACAAAGGACCCGCTGGAAAGCAGGTGAGGAATTTGAGCAAACATCTACTTAGAGAGGACGTGATGGCCGGCAGCCGCCTCCATCAGGGCGATGCGGGCCGAAACCACGGCGACAGAGCACCTCGCGCCTGTCACAGAGGCTCCGCCGAAGAAGATAAGACTCACAAGTGTTGGCGAGGACATGGGGAAAGCGAGCCCTGCGGCCACCACGCGGCCGAGGTGCAGGGTCCTCAGGTTAGCGCTCCCTTGAGATCCCGTAATTCCGCTCCTGGGTGTTTACCCAGAGAACACGAAAACACAAATTCAAGAAGATACCCGCACCCCCACATTCACTGCAGTCTTACTGGCGACAGCCAGCACGGGAGGGCAGAGGGTGTCTGCCCACCGAGCAGGGTCCCAAGGAGAAGCGTACCTGACGCGGTGTCAGCCGGGAAGGAGAACAAAATCCCGCCGTCCGCAACGACGGGATGGAGCTGAAGGGCCC